TTTTATTATTTTCTTCTTCAAAGAGTATAAATATTGAAATGGTAAATAACAGAACCCAGAAGGGAACCTGAATTTTTAATTACTGATTGTAGATTGTGTTTTTGTTTTCTTAACATAAAACGGCTTTTCTTGTTCTCATGGCAAATATTTTATTCAGAAACCAGATCCAATGTTTTTTCATACATCAGTAGATACCATGCATGTATTATAGTTAAATTATATTTGCCATAGGTATAGTGTAAAATTAACAAACTTAAAATCTATTTTTTAGAGAGCGTAATCAAATGTAGAATGATATTAAAGGTTTTGTTGATTACTGAATTGAGTTTTGAAAATAGGTGTTTTGCACTTTGATATTTTGATACAAAAAAATGCTCAGGACTATTGACTGGCAGATAAGTTGTCAACAGAGGGAGTATTTGTTTTTCCAGTATGTGATTTCACATTAGGTAACTCGTGCCCCAGATTCTGCACATGAACAAGCAGGATATAGGCAGAAGCATCCCTGTTAAAGATTACACAGCCTTTAAGACCTTTAGCTGCTATATGCAGTGGATTTTCTATTATTAATCAGCATTCTAAAATAGCTTCTGTACTAATAGTGGATGATTTGTTATTTTTTATTGTTTTTTCCTGATAGTACTAGTTGTATAGTTTATCAGAACAACAACTTCGAAAACTTCAGTGTTGGGAAAAGTTACTCTTAACAGAAATCCAGCATTACTATTACAACTTGTCGGGAATCTATTCTTAGAATAAACACCAGGTTTGGGGGAAATACTGTATTTGAAGTGTAATCTGTTACAATGATTTATCTATATAGTGTGTAATCACTATATAAGGAAAGATGTTACCTCGTAAAAGCAATGTCTTTCAATTTATTAACAGTGTAAAAAAGTTATTCCTTTCATAAATTAGTTGTAATGCATACTTTTTAAACTTTTTAAAATAACATTTCCACAGCACTGAAAATACATATTCCTTGCCAAAGTGCAGAATGTGCTTCTTTTTTTCACTAAAACCTCCTTTTGCAGTTTTCTATTTTCAACTGTTTGAAAATGAGAAAAACTGAAACGCATTTCATCTGTTCCACATCTGTACCAACTCACTAAATTAGTGCCACTTACTGTTACTACCATCTTAATCTGTTCATTTTAATCTGTTATTAATCTGTCTTTTTCTTTTCTCTGAAGTAAACAATATTATAGGAAAGTTTTTTTGTTCTGCAATATTTATTTAAGAGAACATTTCTGGGGGTTCCAAGTAGATCAACTGCAGTAAAATGAGGTTCAAATATACTGTGTATATTTATTCCTATAACTAAGATAAGTATGTAATAAGGTCTAAACTATTTGTTGAAAAATAGTTGCCAATAAAACAAAATCCTAAAGACAGCATTTAATTTATTTAATCTTATTGGCTTGCCTGTAAGACATTTATACACCCTGGTGATATCCTTAGGGAGTGCTATTGGCTGTGAATCTTGCAAGGACCAAGATTTCTCCTTTCATTGTAGTTGTGGAGGTAAGATCATTGACTTATCAAGTAATACCTGTGGCTTAGTATTTTTGCCCACAGTGTGTGTGAGGTTGTTTGGAATGTCTGTTAACAACTTGTTAGGGGTCTTGCTTTTCCAGTGCTTCAGATAGTAATTTGTTATGAAGCAGAAATGTAAATTATTTTAATGTGATTTAACCAAC